AGAGAGAGAGAGAGAGAGAGAGAGAGAGAGAGAGAGAGAGAGAGAGAAGACTGGGCTGGGAAGGGAGTGTGCAGACGGCCCGGCGCTGGGCGTGGGGTGGCCGCGGGCGCTGGGCGTGGAAGCGCGAGCAGGGGGCGTCCTGAGGTTGACCCGGCCCCGGTGCGGGACTGACTGACCCTGGGTGGTGCGGGGTCCGGAGGGCGCCCGGCCGGGGCGGGGCAGCCAAGTTTTCTTTCCTGATGAGAAAGGGTGGGGGGCTGTGGCTTGCTGGCGAGCAGCTGGGGCGGAGGGCGGCTGGGCTGAGATGGCACGGGTCCGGCTAGCCTCCGGTTTACAGAATCGGCGGGTCCCCCCGAAGCCAGGCGAGGGCCCCCACTCTCGGGTGAAATCCGAGAGACCGGCTAAGCTCCCTGCCCTCGCCCAGGTCACTGGGCCGCTCTGGGCACGACTTCCCCATGACCTGTCCTAGGTCTCCGGAACCGCGGTCTCCGGACGGGGACAGGGAAACTGGTCGTCTTGATTGTTTCCTCAGATGGAGGCGGGCGATTGACTTGGGTCACCGCGAGCGTCGGTGCACCGGGCACTTTGTCTCCCGATCTTTTTTTTTTTTTTTTTTTTATCGCAGCCACCATTTGTCGGAAGGCTTCCAAACAGTTACTTGGAAGTTCGGGGCTGGTGGATAGGCACCTAAACATAGCAGCTTGAACAAAATTGAAAACGCTTTTTCCCCCTCCTTTTTTGCTTATTTTAAATAAACCCGACTCACCCTACTTTGAGAAGTACAGAAGGGAGCTATCTCCATGGATCAGGCTCTCCATTTCTCTCCACCTCCCCCCATGACCCTTGGGGCTGGGTGGGCAAGAGCTCCTCCATTTGGGTTGGTGACAGATTGCACAATGGCCCTCTCCTCCTTTCAGCCTCCCCTCCCTTCACCTCACACTTTTTTTTTAACTTTTTTTTTTTTTAACCATATGGTGTTATCCTCTATTTCTCAGGGAGAACACTGAAAACAATAACTCCTCCTCCAACAAGCAGAATCAACTCTCTCCTCTGGAAGGGGGCAAGCCGCTCATGTCCAGCTCCGAAGAGGAATTCTCACCTCCCCAAAGTCCAGACCAGAACTCGGTCCTTCTGCTACAGAGCAATATGGGCCACGCCAGGAGCTCAAACTATTCTCTCCCGGGCCTAACGGCCTCACAGCCCGGCCACGGCCTGCAGGCTCATCAGCATCAGCTCCAGGACTCTCTACTGGGCCCGCTCACCTCCAGTCTGGTGGACTTGGGTTCTTAAGTCGGGAGGTTTACAGGGGCCTCCAAGGGATGGCTAGAGCAGCAACCGACCGCAGCAACTAGGGACACTTGTACATAGAAGCCAGGAACAATTCTGATGCTCGTTTCTGGGGGTTCTTTGCTCCTAAAGGAACGGTGGGGTTCCACAAATGTCTTTTTAGAAATTACAACCGACAGTGATCTCAGTCGAGTACGGTCTCCCTCTCCTCTCTCCTCGGCTCTTAACACTCTTGCATTTCTCCTCCCCACGGAAAGGTCAGGAAACAAAGAACAGCACCCAGTCTTGATTCGGGGCGACCCATTTCAGTAGCCTCTTCCTCCACCTCTTCTTCCTCCTCCTCCTCCTCCTCCTCCTCTTCGTCTTCTTTTAGTGAACAGATATTACAAATCAACTGGATCTTAATTATTTTCTTTTAATTTATTAATGGAGAAACGGTTTAGGGAAGAGGAAAAGGAAACGAAGAGAAAAGAGAGACGTATCAAAATAATGAAAACAAGAAACCTCCAGTCTGAGAGGAGCTGGCTGCCTTCTTAAGATGATTAGGAAAAAAAAATAATCATAACTGTTTTTTTTGATGGGAAAATTAAGTTTACATTTTTCATATTTAGTGTTAAATAATTTTATGTAGATTAAAATAAAAGAACAGTATTAGTGGGGGAAAAAGTGCCTAAATGTCTTAATGCTCTCTATGTGAGGTGGTTAGGAATAGAAGTGATGGTAGCTATTTTTGTCAAAATTAATAGGGGTTTTGGTGATTGTTTCCTTGGGTTTTTTTTTTTTTTTTAATTTTTATGACAAACTTCACAAGTGTACCAATGAGGGAGGGGGAAAAGCCACTTTCCTAAATGTCCTCACTTCTTCCCTCAGAACTTTCCTGTCTCCAGGCTGCCTCTGCCCAGAGGATTCTGCTACTCCTACTTTCTACTTGCAAAAAGGGGTGCCCATGAATCCGGCAACCTGCTATTTGTTACTAAAACAGCATGTGATTTTAGGCTTCTTTTCTATTGTACCTAAACCAGTCTAAATTAAAACTTCGTAGACCATCAGGAGTTTGATTCTGTTTCTGAAAGGTGAGTTCTGTATTGCTGTCATTGGGCCTATTTAAAGAACAAGTTTTCTTGCTTTCTTAGTAGCAGTTATGAATTGCAGGGTATTTTTGAAGTCTATCACCTGAAACCAAGAATAGTGGCTAGGTTAATGATATGACGAAAAGAGAAGAAACTTAGCCTTGGGTATTTATTTATTTTTTTATTATTTAGAAATGCAGTTTTGCTTACCACGGTTTCTCCTCCGAAGCATTCATATGTTAACTGGGCTCTTTCGTGTTGACAACTTATGGAAAGACTGTGAAAGTAAAAGTAATTTATCTGCTTTTTTTTTTTTTTTAAGAAAAAAGGGAACTCGAACAAGGATTTAAAATTATGAATTGATCTGTACAAATAAAAATGCAGGCCATCGGGAGCTCTTTTGTCAGATAGTGTCCAGAAAAATCCCAGTAATCATGAAGGCTCGATGTTCTTTTTGCCTGGGGCAAAATAATGTGTCTCCTGTATTTAGCTTTTAAGACTAGTGAAACAAATGGCATTATTTATTAAAATTCTACTCAGGATAACAGGATTGGCTTGCTCGTGCTTTGTAAAATATTGTTCCCCAGGGAGAGTTTATTTATTTTTCTGACATGACAGTTTCATAATTTTGATTTTTCCTCATCTATAAGTGTCAACATTAATATATTTCTTTCTTACCTTTCCCTTTTGTTCTTGATCTGACTGAGTGAAATGGCGTGTGTATGCGCCCACGTGAGCGTGTGTGTGTGTGTGTGTGTGTGTGTGTGTGTGTGTGTGAAATTAAGGCCTGATTATGAGTTGTTTTTTTTTTTTTTTTAACTGTCGGATTGTTTTGCGTTCAAGAGAGAAATGGCCACTGTGCTTTTAAATATAGTCACTTTTACTTAAAAAGTCATTTTCCCTTGGTGATGGACAGACGTGCGCACAGCCGCTCAGAGACCATCCTTTGGCCTGGGAGCTCCAGGTCCCCATCTTCCCTGTTAGTGTTTTGGATCATTAAGTCGGTGTTTATTTAAGTCACTGGGGTGTTTATTCTCCACGTCTTGGGCCACGGAGAAGCGCCACCCTCTGCAGGAGGGGCTCTCTCGGGGAATCTCCACACATTCTTCACATTCACTCCCCAAAACAAACAGCCGGCACAAAGATAGCTTTCAGTGACCCTGACAGGCTTCAAAGGAGGCCGCGGAAATCTCTCTGGAAAATAAGGAAGGGCCAATTACTTTAATTTCTTACATGCCCCCGCTTCCTACCCGGACCGCCTCCCGCTCTCGCAGCCTCGCTCCTCTTGGCATAATTTTGGAGTCGTGGAAGTTGTGTCTCCCAGGGCGCGCCGGCCCACTTCCTGCTGGATCGGTTGGTGGGTCTTGGAAGAGTCTGTGTTCGGGTCTGGCTAGCAGCTAGGAACGGCGGGTCCTGTAAAAGCCCCCGTGATTACTGCTTGTAAACTCGTTAAAAGGACAGCTTTCTGTCATAGCCATAAACTCTTTGTAAAAAAAAAAAAAAAAAAAAAAAAACCCTGGCACTCGATCCCGAATGTGCATATTCCAGATGTGTTTAATAAGAAATCGCACAGTCGGCCTCTCTGCTATTCTCGGCCCAGTCTGGCTGAGAGCGGGAGGAGAGAGCTGGATATTGCTCTGAGGTTTTTTTGGCAATCATTTTAGGGCTATCATTGGGGGTGGGGAAGGGGGAGAAACTAACCATTTTTTTTCCCCTCGAGGAAAATCTTCGAGAGCCAGCTGTCGAGGGGCATCCGATTTACCCTCTCGGATTCAAAGTTTGACTGAGTCTCCAGCCACTTTTTTCGTTTCTCCTCTGCAGATTTCATAGCGATAGCCACCACCCCCCCCCCAAAAAAAAATTAACGAGCAGCCTCTCATAAATAGAGGGGTTTCAGGACGAGACTTACTTCACAGCATTTGCAAAGTGAGATTTAAAAACCAAAACCAAACAAAAACACCAAATCGAGTGTTGTTTTCTAAAACGTTTTTTTAATCTCAACGCAAGGTCGCTGGAATCCGGCTTTCTTCCCCCCCGCGGTGACCCCTTGGCTGAGAAAGAAGCTTCCTAAGTATTTGGAGGCCAAGGAGTTGTTTGGCCGGCGGTTCCTGAGTCTTTGGCTTAGCAGGTAATAGGGACAGGAGAACTTGGATTCAAGATCCCGGAGTTGGTAGCCTTAGGTACCGACCCTCTATCCTAAACCAGGATAGCTTGGTCTTCATCTTGAGATGGGGTGGAGGCCTTCAGTGGGACCGCGCTGGTGGGCTAGCAAGTTTGTCTACTCGGGATCGCGTCCTCCTCCCTGCTCGTGGGGGGCCCTGGGAGCGCCAGGCACCGCACCCCTGCACCGGAGCGGCCTCGCCCACGCCTGAACGTTTCGCTGGGCCCACGAGCGGGACTCCAGGATCCAGAGGCCTCTTGGGCTGCAGAGAACTGGAGCATCGGTCACCTGCCAGCCTCGGAGGCCGTTAGTGCCGGATCCCATCGCAGCAGCATCCCGGTGGAGGGGCTGGTGGACCCCTGCGAAGTCCCTGAGAGCAGAGGAGGCCAGGTCCGGCCTCAGGGGAGAAGAGAAGGCCTGGGGCAGCTGTCATCCGGGAATGCCCGGCCGTCTCCCTGTTGAGTTCCTAGCACACGCACGTGAATGGCACAGGACGTTCCACGGCGGGGGTGACGCCGGCCTTGTAGCGGGGTAGGTCTCCACGCTTCACTCGGCCCCCAGGGCAGGTGCCAGCCCTCGACAGTCTGCCCTGTTCTCAGCGACCTCGGCCCATTCCTCCACAGCCCTTCCCACTAAAACGGGACCTGGGCTTCGGCTCTGTGACTTAACTGCCTCACCCCGGCGCTGACCTAGCAGTGCCTAGCATGGAGCTGGGCAATTTCGGAGCCAGTCTCCCCCTTTCTGCGGCTGGGGAAAGGGTGGCTTTGCTTCTACGGTGTGGCCTGGTGGCTTGGGGTAGGGCTGGGGTTGGGGCATTCTTGCTTCTGGCTGCTGAAGTACACAGTACACAGGGATTTTATAGTGGTGGGTGGTACTGACAGGCACAGGTGGGGTATTCCTTTCCCAAGGCCTTCTCCCAGGAGGCTCTAAAAACTCCTAGACTACCTCCTCCAGCTGCCCAATGCCAGAAGAACTCGCGTCCCGTGGCCACTGTATCTCAGGAACGTTTATTTTTCACGGGGAGGAGGACTTAGCCCCGCAGGCTGCAGGCGTGCTGGATTACCTTAGCCAAGGGAGGACTTCTGAGCACCCCAGGCTGCTCTGACTGGGTCCACAAACTCCTCCTGGAGCCGGCTCTAAGCGAGGCGGGGGTGGATTAGCTAAGAGATGAGTGAACCAGCCAGGGACAAAACCCATCAAAATCATGTAGGAGTTGTTGGGTTTTCTTCTTCCCCGAAAAAAAAAGCGCTGCCCTGGAAAGGCCTCATTTTCTTGGGCGTTTTAAACTCGGCACACACACAACTTTGTTCCAGCTGATGAAATTGGAAACCTGTTCTCCTACTGAGGATGACAATCAGGGTTTTAGACGCCGTGGTCCTTCAGACAGCGAGAAACAACACTGCAGTAGCGTTTAAAAACAAAGAGAAAGAGACTGCCGGAGGCCCGTGGAAAGCTGCTCGGTCTCCAATCCCGGGCCTCGGATCCTCTCCTTTTAACTTGTTAATGGACAGCTGAGACCCGGCTTCTCAGCAGGTACAGCACTACCCCACGGCCGCCTTTAAGGAAGCCACTCACCCCCCTCCGTTACCGTAACGCGAAAACATTCTCTGTGATCAAACGGAACAATTAAAGGAAGGACACGAAAACTAAAAAGCACACATCCAAACCAAGCCATCACTGAAAAGGGAAATAGGTTAGCTTTAGATTTCTTCAGGGCACCTGAAGCGGCTGCTCCGTTGTAACGAAAACCTGGTTGAGAGATACTGAGCGCT